TTTAGAAATACTACATTAAGCATGAATAAAACAAGATTCAATAACTAGATTAACATAGACACAATTCATAGTAATCATCTCGCATCAATACACCCATCACAATTCATGAAATTGGGGTCATGGGGAAGTTCATGGGTTCATGGGGAGTTTTACTATAAAAAACACCATTAAACGTCAAATCATTCATAATATAATAAAAATAACATAATGAAATAATTTTTAAGAAAAACCTATGGCTAGAATGAAAACCCTAGTTTTTGAACAATATCCCAAATTTTGAAATTAGAGTTGAAGGGCTTCATGGAGAAAAGTGTTCCATGAATCAAGGTTCCCATACCATAATTTAAGCTTTGCCCACGAATTAGAGTTGAGAAGATGGATTCTTGAGCACTAATCTTAAAGTTCTTGGTGTTCTTCAATAGAGGAACTCTAGAGAGAGAATTATTGGCTATGAGAGGATTTTGGGAAAATATTTGGGTGTTGTGAATTAATGACCAAGTCTTGTGAATTTTGACTTAAAAATAATGTATATACTTCCCCTAAAAATACCCGAAACACCCCCACTTTATTTGGACTAAAAATGAAATGACCCTAAAGGCCTTCATTAATTGACCCCTGTCCAGGTTTCATGACTCACTCCACGAGCCGTGCTGAGGACCACGACCCATGGTCCTCCCCGTGGAGTTGAGGCAGTAGCCTCCTCTTTGGAGCTCAAGGCTCCATCGCCTAAGGCACTCTCACAAGCACCTTCACAAGCCGTGAAGTGGACCACGCCCTGTGGTCCAGCTCGTTGAGTGTGAGGCAGTAGGTAGCCTTTTGGAGCTCAAGGCTTCTTCGACCAAGGCACTCCCACGAGCACCTGTATGCCTTGTCAAGGGGACCACGGCCCGTGGTGGTGCCCGTGGTACCTTAGGCAGTAGCTCCCCCAAGATGTCCCAATTTCCATGAAACCAAGGGATCTTCACGACCAGCTTCACGAGTCATGGAGTGGACCATGAGTCGTGGTCCCCCTCGTGAAGGTTGGTGCAGTAGCTCCTTGATAGGGTCAGCCTTGCCCTTTGGCTTTGGCTTGGCTCATTTGCCTTGGCAGTTGTCCCTTTGTCTAGACTCCCATTACCTCATATTAACCCTAATTGACTTACTAAAACTTTGGGGAGACATTTTATGATTTTTTACCTTACGTTTAGGCTCTAGTTTAACCTACCATTTTCTGGAGTGTCACATTATCTCCCCCTTGGGAACATTCATCCTCGAATGACGATTTAGACACCTTACGGAAATAAAGACTCAAGACTATCAGCCCATCATGCATGTAACATATTGAAATGCACAATTCATAGGAGGAAACATCAACTCCATCTCAAGTCATAAACATGCAAATACAAGGAAGTAGGAACTACATCCACAACCCAACATGCACAAAACTCATCATTTCATATAATTTTAGGAGGAACTACCTTCTCCAACTCAAACAAGCTCAACACAATAAATAAAGAGCCAATATGCCATATCATCACAAGTATAGCAAATCATGTTCATTAATTCACGTCATGAAGTCCAATATGCAACCATCATACTAAAGTGCAAACCAACTTGAAGAACATATAAATCATGAAAACTCAATATATGCTAAACATGAATTCTCACAAGAACATGCACAACATAAGGAAATCATAGATAAAACTCATAGCACAAATGACTTCCAAAACACCAAACTCAAGAAACTATTTACCTCAAGCTGGGATAGGAGTAGAAGGAAAAAGATGAGGATAGCGGGACTTCATGTCGGCCTCGGCCTCCTATGTAGCACCCTCAACTAAGTGATTCCTCCCTAAGACTTTAACGAAAACTACCTCTTTGTTTCTTAACTTCTTAAGTTGCCAGTCCAAATTCTCAACCGAAACTTCTTCATAGGAAAGGTTCTCATCAACTCCTAAACCCTCTAAAGGAAGGATGAATACCGGATCTCCAATGCACTTCTTGAGCATGGACACATGAAACACCAGGTGGACCTGAGCCAACTCACTTTGCAATTCCAATTCATATGCAACTTTCCCAACACGTTTCAAGATTTGGTACGGGCTCACATACCAGGAACTAAGTTTCCCCTTCTTACCAAACCTCATCACACCTTTCATAGGTGAGTGTTTTAAGTAGACCCAATCACCAACCTCAAATTCAAGATCCCTCTTTCTAACATCGGCATAGGATTTTTGCCGACTCTGGGCCGTTTTCAACCTTTCTCAAATAAGTCAAACTTTTTCAATGGAATCATAAACTAGTTCGGGACCAATTAGAGAAAACTCACCTACTTCAAACCAACCCACCGTAGATCTACACCTCCTACCATGAAGTGCTTCAAATGGAACCATGGCAATGCTTGAGCGGTAACTATTGTTGTAGGCAAATTCGATCAATGGAAAATGGTCATTCCAACTACCCTTGAAATCAATCACACACGCCCTCAACATGTCCTCTAAGGTTTGAATGGTCCATTCTGCTTGACCATCCATTTGAGGGTGGAAAGCGGTACTAAGTTTAACATTGGTACCAAGCCCTTGTTGGAACGCCTTCCAAAAATGTGAAGTAAATTGAGCACCCCGGTCCGATATGATGGACAAAGGAACCCCATGCAACTTCACTACCTCCTTGATATACAACTTAGCATAATCTTCCGCCCGAAAGGTAACCTTGATGGGAATGAAATGGGCTGATTTCGTCATCCTATCAACAATGAGCCAAATAGAATCATGTTGCCTTCAAGTACGAGGCAAACCCACAACAAAGTCCATATTCACCTCCTCCCACTTCCAAGTGGGAATATTTATATCTTGAAACAAACCTCCCAGTTTTAGGTGTTCGGCCTTGACTTGTTGACAATTTGGACATTTGGCCACAAAGCCCGCTATATCCTTTTTCATGCCATTCTACCAATAGACTTCTCGTAGATCACGGTACATCTTGGTGGCTCCCGGATCAATAGAATATCACAAATCATGAGCCTCTTCCAAAATTCGCTCTCTAAGGCCATCAACATTCGGCACACACAACCTACCTTGGTACCTAAGCACCATCTCCCCCTTGGAAACAAACCTCAACGGACTTGTTGAGAACCAATTTTTTCAACTCCATCAATATAGGATCAAGATGTTGCTTAGACTTCACATCAACCACAAAGGACGATTCAGAATTATGATGATCCATGAATCCACCCTTGGTGGAATCCACTAGTTGGACACCCAACCGGACCAATCTATGCACATCACGAACCAATTCCTTCTTCTCATCTTCTACATGAGCTACACTACCCATGGACAATCTACTAAGGGCATCCGCAACCACATTAGCCTTGTCGGGGTGGTATAGGACACTCATGTCATAATCTTTCAAAAGCTCTAACCATCTTCTTTGTCAGAGATTCAAGTCTTTTTGGCTAAACACATATTGAAGACTCTTATGATTGGTAAACACATCTACATGTACCCCATAGAGATAGTGCCTCCATATTTTCAAGACAAAAACCACCGCCGCTAGTTCGAGATCATGGGTTGGGTAATTATTTTCATGAATCTTGAGTTTCCTTGAAGCATAGGCAATTACCTTACCATGTTGCATTAGAACACAACCCAACCTACTTTTGAAACATCACAATATACCACGAATCTGTCAGTACCCTCCGGTAAGATCAACACCGGAGCGAAGGTGAGTCTATCCTTCAATTCTTGGAAGTTGTTCTCACAAGCCTCCGACTACTCAAATTTAGACTTCTTTTGGGTCAAGGCCGTTAATGGAGAAGTGATGGAAAATGTTCTAATATCAGTGGGACTTAGGGGTCTAGGCCAACTCTTGACCGCATTCGTCTTCTTAGGATCAACCTCTATTCCCATGGCCGACACAATATGACAAAGAAAGGGAACCGACCTTAGCCAAAACTCACACTTACTAAACTTAGCATATAGTCGGTGATCCTTAAGGACTTGCAATACCATCCTCAAATGGTCCTTATCTTCACATTCACTTCTTGAATAGATCAAAATATCATCGATAAAGATGATCACAAATAAATCAAGATATTGTCTAAACACCCTATTCATTAAGTCAATGAATGTCGTCGGGGCATTTGTTAACCCAAAAGACATAACCACAAATTTGTAGTGACCGTACTGGGTCCTAAAGGCCATCTTAGGAATGTCACACCCTCTTACCCTTACTTGATGGTAACCTGAACGAAGATCTATTTTGGAGAAAAAGGTAGCCCCTTGGAGTTGGTCAAACAAATCTCCTAGGAAGTGGATACTTATTCTTTATAATTTCCTTGTTCAATTGGCGGTAATCAATACACATCCTAAGGGACCCATCTTTCTTTTTCACAAATAATACCAGAGCACCCCAAGGAGATATGCTTGGTTGAATAAAACCCTTATCTAGAAAACCCTTGAGTTGTGCCTTCAATTCCTTCAATTCGGCTAGAGCCATCCGGTAAGGTGGAATGGATATGGGTTTTGTATCTGGCACAAGATCAATGTCGAAGTCTATTTCCCATTCGGGAGGAATATTGGGCAAGTCATCAGGGAAGACTTTCGGATACTCTCTCACTACGGGGACCGAATTCAAAGAAGGAGTCTCAAACTCAATGTCCTTAACCCTAACAATGTGATACATGCACCCCTTTGAGATCATTTTTCTAGCCTTTAGACAAGAAATGAAATGACCTCTAGGGATAGGGTTTCCCCCTTTCCATTATAAAGTAGGCTCATTAGGAAATTGAAACTTTACCAACCGGGTTATACAATCAATGGAAGCAAAACAAGCATGCAACCAATCCATCCCTAAGATGACATCAAAGTCCAACATATATAATTCTACCAAATAAACCAATGTGACTTTATGAGACAATGAAATGGGACAACTCTTATAAACTCTTTTAGCTACAACGGAGTCATGCATCGGGGTAGAAATCGAAAAGGGTTTTTCTAAGACATCGGGGAGTACATCAAATTTCATAGCCACAAAAGGATTAACAAAATACAAAGTGGCACGGGGTCTAATAATGCATAAACATCAATGGAAAATACTTGTAACATACCAGTAACAACATCCGGGGACCCCTCTTGATCATTTCGGGATTGGAGAGCATAAAAGCGATTCTTCTTAGGAGCATCAGAATTAGAACCACTTGGAGGGGCTTGATTACCCTCTCTTCCCTTGGCCGAACGGGTTGGGTAATCTTTCAATTGTTGTCCATTTTTTCCACATCCATAGCACACACCCATACCGACAAGATATTTCCCCTCATGCTTCTTACCACACTTGGCACATGTAGGCCTCTCCATGGAAGATCCACCCTTATTGCCTCCTTGAGACTTAGGGTTCGACACCCTATCTTTATTGATCCTAGGAGCATTGGAGGAGCTTTGGTTGGAAACCTCTTCTTGAACCTTGGTTTATCTTGAACCACAAACTTACCCTTGGAAGAATTCCCATCATCGTTCCTTGCCCTCTTCACTTCTCTACCCACTTGCTTGAGCTTTTGTTCCTCTATTTTTTCAACATGAACCATTAGATGTGAAATGTTCATGCTTGGAATGAGCATTGCCGAACGACACTCGTTTACCACCAAGTCGGATATCCCCATGATGAATTTGTTCATCTTTACCCTAGAGTCTGCCACTAAGGTTGGAGCATGCTTAGATAATTGGGTGAACTTAAGGCAATATTCCTTCACACTCATACCTCCTTGGCGAAGATTGATGAATTCTTGCATCTTTCTCTCCCTCAACTCTAGGGGGGAAAATATATCAAGGAAGACTGACTTGAATACTCCCCAATCAATTGGGCCCGCTCTCACGAATCTCTTCTCCTTCCATTGCTCATACCAAACTTGAGCTACATCTTTCAATTGGTAGGCGGCCAATTCTGCCTTTTCTCGAGAATATACACCCATGGCATCAACCACCTTAAGCACCTCATCTATAAAGACTTGAGGTTCTTCATCCACTTTAGATCCATAGAAGGTAGGGGGATTCATTCTTGTGAAATCCCTAATCCTTTAAGCGGTTGTACTCACATTAGGGTTCACTTGAACTCTAGCATTCCTAGTGACTTGAGTCATAAAAGCATGTGTCAAGGTTTGGAGAGCCGTCCTAATCTCCACATTAGTCATAGCTCCCTCATTATTAGGAGCTTGAGTAACTTGAGGCCCTTGTTGACCTTGGGGAGGAACTCCCTCATCATTAGCAATCTCTTCTTCCACTCTTCTTGCGACCACTCTTCTTGTAGTCATTTCCTATATGCATAAGAAAAGGGTTAGGAAAAGGACTCTATAGAGTTAAAACTCTAAGGCACGACTAAAGAGTACTCAAAGAAGTGAAAGTTCCTAAACATCTAATAGCCTCTCATTCTATGTGTGGCGCGCTTCACACTTATGAACAAGACTCTACATGACGTGGTTCATGAGACATCAACCTAAATATTATCCCAAAACCTTATGCTCTGATACCAAGTTTGTCACGACCCTTGGTTACCCACTAGAAGTAACACTGCGTAATTGACCCCGAATGGGTCGCATACAAGCCCTTAGCATAATCAAACACATAAAGCCATAAGAATAATGCAGAAAAAATAAAACTTTTACAATAGAAGTCAAACTTCATTTTTATAAAGGAAAATCATAAGAATCTAGACTTTGTCTCATTTACCATCTAAAACATAGGAATACAAAGTTTGGGACTTTGCCCTTTACATCAATAAAAGTCTCAATATGAGAAATACAATAGAAACTAAGAAATGGATAATCCGTCCTCGAACTTGAGGACTCACCACAACTTGGAGATAAGCAATCCAAGTCTTCTTCTAGAAAGGAAAGTGTATGTCACCTAGCCGGAACCTACACTTATCAAAATGTAGAAGAAGAAGGGGTTAGCAAAAATATGTACTAAGTATGGAAACATGCATAAAATCCTTGAAATATGATAAAAAGAACAGTTTGGTTACAAAGTACGCGTTTATCAAGTTTGGAAACCAACATGCATTTTCAATGTAAAAGACAAGTTATATTCACATTTATACTCATAACATAATAACATCAATACCTTAGCAACCCCTAAGGAACACTTGTGCAATGTATGGCTGGAATCCCATAATTCCAACCATACTAAGTACTCCCTTGAAGCTACCTTAGTCATACATATCATCTTAAGACCGTATCATAAATAATAGACATCAATAAAGAACTAGTCATGTACATTACTTGAACATAAGGAAAGTCATGCATACATTCATATCTCATCATAACATAAAGGAACCATCCCATAACATCCTACTAAGTCTACTTGTGCAATGTAAAAGTGAAGTCTCATACCCCCACTCCTACAAAGTAAAACTCACCAAGAAGTCATAGTATAGTTCATGTCTCATTCATTATTTTATCATATAAGGAAGAATAGCCATAACCGACATAGACCATATGAGCTACATGGAATTCGGTGTCGTGTAACCCCACACTGAAAGAAGGTGTCCTACTTGCCTAAGGTAAAACTAAATGTGCTAGCTTTTAGGTTGTCACGACCCAAGCCTAGGGCCTAGACGTGACCGGCGAATGGGGAACCCGAAGGAACCCCAAACAAGCCTCATAGCGTATCATTACACATCCTTGGTCGCGGAAGCAATTAAAATGACCATAAGCAATAAGCATAATCAAAGGGGGAAATCGGGACTAAGGGAGCAAGAGAAAAAAAGAAGAAATGGTACATAAATACCATAGATGAGTCAAGCTCAAGCATAATACACAACTTGTCCAACACCACCTCTAAACATGAGTACTTAGCGGGGGCCAAGACAAACTACCGGGCTCACCCTCATAGTCAAAACATAACTAAAAAGAAAAGTCTTATACATAGCAAAAGATCATGAGCAACGTCCCCGGAATGGAGGACTCACCAATAACCTTGATAGGAAATCGTATTAGCCACGCGGAGGAGGATGGTCAAGCGGTGCTCCGGTCCCTACATGGTGACATCATGTAGGCATAGAGTATGCGTTAGTACGTTTGAATGTACTAAGTATATAGGATGCAATGCAACGCTACAATAGACGGACATCATAGGAAAAATGCATAATCATACCCGATAGATAGCACATTAGAGAAATGATATGTATAATGATGCTTACATAAAAATCATATTTAGTGGGACGTAGTACATGTGTGGTGAGTGACCATCAATATAGTATTTTCCAAGGCCTACCACCCCCTTGGAGAGGCGAAATAGGTACAAACCCCTCAATGTGGTTACCCGGGCCTACCACCCCCCGAGCTAGGGACCAAGGTACAAACCCCTCGATGTGGTTATACGGGCCTACTACCCCCCGTACTAGGCAACCAAGGTACCAACCCCTTGATACGGTTATACGGTACTACCCCCCGTACTAGGCAACCAAGGTACCAACCCCTTGATACGGTTACCCGGGCCTACAACCCCCCGAGCTAGGCTTGGTCGACTCACAACACTTATATAGAGAAAATCATATACATGTATCCCTTTCATCATCATTTCAATAATTATATAATCATCCGACTCATAGGATGTACATTAGACCTTCCATTTCCTATGAATTCTATCAAACACATGGTGGGCTATTGTTCATGTAGATAAAATTATGTCTTTCAAGAGTATTAAGTCCAACCAATTCCGAAATACATATAAATCAGCCCACCAACAACATACATATATATATCAACCTTCGTAATTTGATCATGGAAGCATGAAAACCATAAACATCACATAATAATTCCATTTCATGATAATATGCAAAAATAGACCATAATAGAATGTGTAGTAATAATTCCATAATTCAAGAGTTCATAGATGATCATAAGGACCCATAAACTTGAAGTAAAATAGAGGATAAATGGTTGGACTTGTGGAAAGGAAGGTTTCCACAATCAACCCACATACCTCAACTTTGGAGAATCCTTGATGAGGATTGGAATGGAGAATTGATGCTTGAGATTGAGTCTTGAATCCGGAATTAAAACTTGAGATGTTTGAATTTGGTTGAAGAACTTGGTGGAATTTTGGAGAGGGATTAGAGAGTGTTTTTGAGTGTTTTGAAGCTAGAAAGAAATATAACTAAGTATGGGACAATCCTCTTTTTTATAAAAGAAAAACGTCCAGCCCGCTACAGTAACTAAGCTTACTGGAAATTGAAATTTTACCCGGACAGGTTTTACGAAAATGGTCATAACTCCTTCATCCTAACTCGGAATGAGGTGAAACCAATTGCATTGGAAAGATAACTCGAAGGGCTTTAATTTAATAGGTAGTGGCCCTTCCAGTTCCTTGTGTGCTAAGAGATATGCCCCTTTAAAATTGACCCTGAAAATCGCATTTTTTTGCGATTTTCGAATTTTGATACGGTTGCTCTAAAATTCGGGTTAGACCCATTTCCCACTCAATTTGACCCCCTGAATAAGAATATGAAGTCGAATTTCCGAAATCATGCACGGATTTTGAGATATATGGAAATTACAATTATAGGTGTTTCCGAAGCACATTTTCGGGCATTTTTGGGGTCGTTTCATAGGTGGATCCACTAGCTAAGTCCTATTTTGGCACATAGTTATGGAATAAGGAGATTGCTTCTAGAAACCCAACTTATTGCATTGGCGGAGGAGCTTCCATCTCATGATTTTACTTTAGATGACCCGGCCTATTGCCTTGACGGAAGGGCCTTTTCCTTAATTTCCATATCCACTCGGTACTAAGCATTATTTCCCAAATTATACAAAATTAGTCTTGAATTGTATTTACATGTGTGAAGTACTGCTCTACACTTCATTTAATACAACTCATAAAATAGCTCATAGATTCATTTAGGTGAGAACTAACTTTCAACCTTAGAATCATCATTAACATGTGAGTAAACCTTTCACATTATTGTTCATAGTGTTTTCATGAGAAATAGCCTTTCAATCAACACAATAACATTATCATCATCCTAGACAAGTAATACCTAATCAAGTGTAAGGGTAAGGGAAGAATGACCTTTCAACAATACCTCAATTTACACAACAGTTATAGTATCTACCTTTCAAATGAATCATAAGTTCACATACCACTTTCATCAATCATGAACAAACCTTCACAATTTACCCCCTTCAAGGGTCATGAACCAAGTCTCACAATCACAGTTAGAAATACTACTTTAAGCATGAATAAAACAATATTCAATAACTAGATTAACATAGACACAATTCATAGTAATCATCTTGCATCAATACACCCATCACAATTCATGAAATTGGGGTCATGGGGTAGTTCATGGGTACATGGGCAGTTTTACTATAAAAATCACCATTAAACATCAAATCATCCATAATATAAGAAAATAACATAATGAAATCGTTTTTAAGATGAACCTATGGCTAGAACGAAAACCCTAGTTTCTGAACAATATCCCAAATTTTGAAATTAGAGTTGAAGGGCTTCATGGAGAAAAGTGTTCCATGAATCAAGGTTCTCATACCTTAATTGAAGCTTTTCCCACGAATTGGAGTTGAGAAGATGGATTCTTGAGCCTTAATCTTCAAGTTTTTGTTGTTCTTCAATGGAGGAACTCTAGAGAGAGAAATATTGGAGATGAGAGGATTTTGGGGAAATATTTGGGTGTTGTGAATTAATGACCAAGTCTTGTGAATTTTGACTTTAAAAAAATATACATACTACCCCTAAAAATACCCAAAACACCCCCACTTTATTTGGACTAAAAAGGAAATGACCCTAAATACTTTCATTAATTGACCCCCGTCCAGGTTTCACGATTCACTCCACGAGCCGTGGTGAGGACCACGACCTGTGGTCCTGCCCGTGGAGTTGAGGCAGTAGCCTCCTTTTTGGAGCTAAAGGCTCCATCGCCTAAGGCACTCTCACGAGCACCTTCACGAGCCGTGAAGTGGACCACGCCCCGTGGTCCAGCTCGTGGAGTGTGAGGCAGTAGTTATCCTTTTGGAGCTCAAGGCTCCTTCGACCA